GATGATTAGTTGTACATATGATTTGGTGTGGAGATGATTAGTTGTACAGATGATTAGGTGTGGTTGTACAGATGATTAGATGCATGGTTGTACAGCTGAATACACGCAAAGTTGTACGTTGCACGTTGCACGATTGGCCGCTGTTTGTCACTCTTCTTGTTCTTGTTTCTTCTTCGTCTTGTTCGACTTCTTATTCTTCTTCTTCTTCTTGGTCAGCCCTCTTTCTCCTCCTCCTCCTCCTCGTCTTCCTCGTTGCTGATCTTCCTCCTCCCTGCTGCTCTTCCTTTTCCTCCTCCCCCCTTTTTCTCCTTCGCCCTCTCTTTTTCTTCTTCTTCTTCTTTCCTTCCTCCTCTTCTTCTTTGTACTTTGCCATCCTCCTCTTCCTCTTCCTTTTCTTCTCTTCCTCGCTCCTCGTCTTCGATTCCATGGATGTTTGTTGTTCTGCGTAGGTGATTCGTCCTTTTTTTGGGTGATCCCTCCTTTTGTTCGTGAGGGAGTCATTCCGGCAAAAAAAAAAAGAATGGCAAAAAAAAGGCGGGTTTCTAAGACCGTGATACATACGTAGCCTTCCGTTGCCTGTTTGCTGAAACTCACACGACTTGCCGCCTTGTATGTGTGACGCGATTCTTTCTTTTTCTGTTTTGAATGCAAGCTCCATGATTGCATGTCTTTTCGTCGAAGAGGCGTCATGCGCACGGCGACTGCCGGGATGCCCTTATCTGACGATTAGTGCAAGTTCAATGATCGAGTGCCTTCCTCGCTGAAGAATTGTTCTGCAGACGGCACCGTTACCTGACACTTTTTGGATACTTTTACCAGGCACCGTTAGGATACCGTTAGCTAAGGATACCGTTACCTTAAGGATACCGTTACCTGGCACTGTTATGATACCGTCACGTGGGTGGCACTTTTAAGATACCGGTAGCTCGCACTGTCAGTGACCACCGTTAGCGACCACCGTTACCGTTACCGGGCACTGTTAGAATATCGTCATGTGGCTGACACTTTTTGAGATCCCGTTACCTGGTACCGTTAGCGGGCACCGTTAACTAAGGATACCGGATACTGTTCCCTGGCAGTGTTAGGATACCGTCACGTGGGTGGCACTCTTAAGACACCGGTAGCTCGCACCGTCAGGATACCGTTAGCGACCACCGTTAGCTAAGGATACCGTTACCTTGTACCGTTAGAACACCGTCACGTGGCTGGCACTTTTGAGATACCGTTACCGTTAGCAGGCGCCGTTAGCTAAGGATACCGTTACCGGGCACTGTTAGAATACCGTCACGTGGCTGGCACTTTTGAGATACCGTTACCGTTAGCGGGCGCCGTTAGCTAAGGATACCGTTACCTGGCACTGTTAGGATACGGTCCCGTGGGTGGCACTTTTAAGATACCGGTTGCTCGCACCGTTAGGATACCGTTAGTGACCACCGTTAGCTAAGGATACCGTTACCTGGTACCGTTAGAACTGGTACCTTTAGAATACCGTTACCGGGCACTGTTGGAATATCGTCACGTGGCGACAGAATAGTAGAAGCAACCAACGGGCCTACGGTGGCTCCGTTGGTACACACCCATGAACTTTTGATATACAAACCCAAGCCCGAATCTAGATACAACCAGATCAGCAGAATAAAACAACTCTGAAGTACCTGGGCCCACTCAGTTCAATGATCATATCCCAAGACTGTCGCACTTTCAAAAAAAAAAAAAAAAAAAAAAAAGAAACGGAATAGTGAAAAGAAAAAAGAAACATAATAGTGACAATCAACTGGCTGGGCTTGATTCCTAACAAGAAACTCCAACTAGAGAAACAGTACATCTCCACGTGTTCTTCAGCTGGCGATCATTTGCTAAAAATAGAACGGCGCAGGAAGAAACGCAGGGGGGGCTGTTAAAAATAGAATGGGAAAAGATGCAGCTACACAAATAAATTAAATCAGTGCCAGCAAACAGGGGCATGACGAGGTGATATTCGGGCTCGCTTCACAACTCAACACTCCACACGTATCTGTACAGCGATTCGCGGCAGGTACGTTCGAACTCGTCAAACGTTTTGAATGTGTTGGGACCATTAGGAGGACTAGAAACATTCCCAGTGTTGTGCAGTGGAAAGCGAGACCCGTTGAGACGAGGCAAAGGTCTTGCAGCTGTCTTTTCTCTCTGTGTGTGTGTGTGTGTGTGTGTGTGTGTG